ATGCCGACTTCAAAAATTAAACTAAAAGACGTCTGGGAATGCAATCGCGAATGGTGCCAAAATAGTAATTAAGTAATTTGTAACCAATTAACAATTAGGCAAATTCTTTGGCGTAGAAAGGATCTGATGCTTGTCTCTGAAGCTACTGCGCTCTCGGGGTTGTACACCCCTCCTTTCAACTTCCGCGGAGAAAGGCCAGGTGTGGTGTTGCATCCACTCTTTGTTTCTGGAGAGTAGGGCCAGGGGTCGTGGGCACAATTCCACTTTATCTTGCAGGACCCTGGGTGCCGGCGCCGCCCTCTGCTGGCTTCAGCCACATCCTCCTCGCTCGGAAACCCAGGAGTGCGGAGCCGAAGGCACCCCTGCGACTGGCTGGGGTGGGGGAGGGTCGTGATTTCCCGGATGGGCTCTGGGGGCTGAATCTGAACGCCCCTGCGTCTGTCCCGCAGGCTTAGCGCTGCAGATCCAGTGTTACCAGTGTGAAGAATTCCAGCTGAACAACGACTGCTCCTCCCCCGAGTTCATCGTGAACTGCACAGTGAACGTTCAAGACATGTGTCAGAAAGAAGTAATGGAGCAAAGTGCGGGTAAGAGCTCAGCAGCCCTCCTCCTCCCCTCTCTAGCCTGGGCCGACGGTAGGAGTGAGAGAGCCATTAAATTACAGGAAAAGGGACTGACTTTGATTTAATGCGTACACCCTGGTTATCGCAGATTTACTTTTACAGTGCTGGGAAAATGAAGAGTTCCAAGTTACTTTAATCTCATTAAAGTTAATTACCAGGGCTTCTCCCCAAAGGACTCGGGAGGGAAAGTGCATTTAAATGAGTGTCTCTCCTCTTTTTATTTACTCCCCTCACCTCCTTTTGCTAAAAGCTGATCCTGAGGCTGGAAAATATATGGATAACCAGCTCTGCTTGGGCAACTAGACAGTAGCCTGTGAGCAATGTCAGCCTGAAATATGAAGCTAGTTAAAGTTCCCAGAGGTCAGAGCTTGAAAAATGTGTTTTGTCATAGAGCCATGCCATATTTCTTTAAAGAACACTACAGGATCTTTATTTAATTTTAGAACTAATGCATCAAATTCTGGGCACAAATTGCCAAGATCTTTCAAAGGAATGTGTTTCCCAGCCCCACAAGCTTAGTGGCTGACTGTCTAGCTGGTGAGAGGGCCTGAGATTACGCAAGGAAGGAAGGGATTCTTGTGAGAGCAAACTCTGCTTATTCACTCTGACCTGCTGACCAGAATCTTCTCACTGAGGTGGAGCTCCCAACTGCTTCCAATAGTTTTATCAGAAATTGAAGTCCCCTAAAAGTGCAACTGGAACTTCGGGGAAATGGGTGGAACTGCAGCTTCAATTCCAGGGTCAAACCTCTAAACAGAGACTTTGTCATTTTAAGAATATTGAAAAAATGGGAAATAGCCTCATGTAGTGAATGCTACTGAATGAACCAAAGCCCTGCTCCTTTGTAGTTGCTGAACTGCACTGTCCACAGAGCTGGGTGAAGGGACCAAAACTGTTATTTGACCTCCTTAACCCACTGGCAAGTTAAAGCAAGGGCTATAGTTTTAAAGCCAGCTCCTTGGAAAAGATTTTTTCTCAGAGAAGAGCCTGGAAATGCCTTGTGGCTAACCACGGTGTTTGGGGGAGCAGATCGTTCATGATTGCAATGATGTGGTGTGTGGTTTTAAAGGCTGTACTGTGCAGGTCTTTATCAGCCTAGATGTGGATTCTTTTCACTAAAATTGCTCTTCTGGGAAATCTGAAATACAATTGTGCTCAAGAGTAACCTGTCCCAAGAAGAACAGCATGCATTGTTTTGTCATATGGGATTTGGCTATTGAAAAGGCAGAACAAAATAAACTTAGTGATGATTCTTTAGTCAAAGTTGATATAGATGATTTTGACAAGTTTTCTTTTCTACTGCGTTTCATTCCTGAGCGTTTTACCTGAGCCAAAGCATGCTGTCCTACCAGAGGGACTGCTATGATTTTAGTCAGACTCACTCTGAACACTTTATTGTTACTTTAGAACATTTGCAGCTTTCTTCCAGGCAGTAGATTACAGCCACATACACACAAAAAAATGGGGCTTTATTAGGAACTTCTTCGGAATCCTCTAGGCCAGTGGTCCCCAACCTTTTTGGCACCAGGGACTGGTGCTCCTATGAGAATCTAATGCCTGATGATCTGAGGTGGAGCTGAGGCAGTGAAGCTGGAGTGGCTGCAAATACAGATGAAGTTTTGATAGCTTGCCCCCACTTACCTGCTGTGTGGCCTGGTTCCTAACAGGCCACTCACCTATCTTATTCACAGAAACTTTAAGCAAAAATGGTCATAAGTGCCTGGCCTGAAGTTGCTATTAGCTCAGTCAAGGTGGGCACCTTGTCTCCAAACCAGGTTCCTCTGGCCATATGTCATAGGCCAAGGAGTAGACAGAGACTGAAGTAATAAGGCAGTCTCAATTGTGAAGTTTGAGAAACAGAAACCAGTTCAAAGGAAAAACCAGTTATGGAGGGAGAAGGCTTTGAGTTCTGTGAACGAGGAAACAGTGCATTTCTGAGCCTAAATTCAGTAGAAAGCAGCCCAATGCATGTTCGTGTGTCAAAAGAACGATGTACAGAGGGGCTGATACTTGAAAGCACTTCTATTTTCATCCCCTTGTAATTGTTTGAGACCAATCAATTTAAATGACTATTAACCTTCCTCTTGTTGGCAGCAATGGAGAGCCAGCCTAAAGTGATTGTTTGTTAAGTGACCACAGTGTAGAACAATCATCCCAGTAGTAAGAGCTGACTTCTGGTGTAGCCCCTGTGCCTCAGGCTCTTTCCTCTTCTCTTTACTTGGAGTATCTCATGCAAACTGTTAGTTCTCTTTTAAGTCCCTTGTTTCTGAGGCCAGAACCCAGAATTTAATTCTACCGCAGGGTCACATTTTCCACTCTGGAGGAAGTAATGCCTGTTAAACGATACTAAGGAATCATGGTCCGATCCGATTTTTTTGTTTGTTTGATCAGTAACATATATTATTCAGAAAACTTTTGTGTGTCAGAGCTGAAAGGGCCTAGTGACTCACAGTTAAGAGTGCACATGGGAATCTTCCTGGGAGTTCTGTCCAATTCCATCCACGTGCCTGGG